TATGGAACTGAAAATAGAAAAACTATGGTCACAGCAATCAACTAGACATTTTGGCAGCCCAACCTACTTTTGTTAGTTTAGTTTATTTATTAATTTATTACTTTGTTTTACAAAATAAAATACACTTTAAATCGCAACTTATGTTTTATTATTATAAGTTTAAAGAGAAAGGTGATTTTTAGGAAATTAGATGGTCAGATTATTCCATATTTTTTAATTTTTTAAAACTATTATTATATTAAAGGTTGGGTTCACTGATTCAACAAAACCTGTCCGATATCACAACAACTCAAATTTAAGGTTTTTCTAGTGAAAATAACAGCTGTTCTGAATTGTTTTAATTGTTGTAAGTACTAATTTTTAATATGAAACTTTAAAAGAACTAAAGCCGCAGTGATTAAATAAACATTTTAAGTACCTAGAACAACAAGAACAATTTAGAGCAACAAAAAATATGTGATTTTGCAAAATTAATGTCCGTGTTAAACGTAAAACACATCTAGAACAATTTGAATCGGCAAAGTTTGAGTTATTTTAGATTGTTCTATGTTTTTTAATTCTTATTGTGTAATATAAAACCGCTGACACAAGAATTACTGACTGAAACTTCCAAAAACTTTAATTTTCAAAGAGTAAAGTGCCCTTTAGAGAGTTGTTCTAGTGAAAATAATAGCTGTTCCAGATTGCGTTAGCTATAATAAGTATATATTTGTAATATGGAATTGATAATAGAAAAACTATGGTCACAGCAATCAACTAGACATTTCGGCGGCCAAACCTATTTTTAGTTATAACTTCGTAATGCTGTATCCCATAATTTTGCTTTTCTGGAACAATAACTAGAGCAACTAGAACAACCCAGAACAACAAAGAAAATTTGATTTTTCCAAAAATGGGGGGCTAGACAAAAAACCCGTTTTTTCGGTTTTCTCGCGGAGTTTATATTTTATCGATTTGCCGCTTTGGAACAATGTAGAACAACTCTGGAACAATCTAGAACAACAATGAAAAATTTAAAAATCCAAAAATGGGGGGTTAACTTCCTGCAGTCTACCTACTGGCCTCTCAGAATTGAGTAAGTAAAAAAATATATTTGTTTATTCTTACATGAGTTCCCTGTTGTCGTCTTTTACACACATTGCCGGCTTCGCTTTCGGTATTTTATAGAATACCTGGGCAAAGTATAAAATTAATAATATTTCATATATTACCTAAACGTTCTATAAATTATTATTCTATAAATTGCCTAGGTATTGTATATAATACCGAATTATACAGATTGCCGGTAACATATCTATAAACAAGGGTATTATGTTGTATTTTATATTTTAAAGATTGTTTCTAAAGACCTAAATAAAGGTTTATTGACAAAAAAATTAGAATTTTTTCAATTATTTCTATCACTGGTCCTTAATGGGTTAAGGTCGCCGTTCAATCACGTGATGTTCGCAAAAGTGCAAAAAAAATTTGTATAGTTCCGCTGTTGGTTAAAAGAGGTCGTCTTGAGCTCAATTCAGTTATTCATAGCGACGCTTTTTTATTTCAGCTTACAATTAGTCATCCTACCGTTGAAAGATTTTAATCGTTGGAGAATATATTCCCCTGTAGTCTTACGCGATTCCTATTCTCGATATTATTTCGTGTTTTCTTCGTGTTTTTTTGTGCTCGAATGCCTTTTGGTTTGCGAAATGCCGCACAAACATTTCAGAAATTTATCAATGCACTTGGTTAGGCCTTACTGGCCTAACTTTCCACCAGCGGCTTTCTTCTCTAAAAAGATGACCAATGGTCAAATGAAATATTCCACATTCGATAGAGAACTACTAGCTATATATCTAAAGAGTGTTGTGTAGCCAATAAGTGGTATTAATACTTTTTCCAATTGGTTTGGTAGTTTTAAAACAATGGCTCATAATATGTGAAAAAGGGATATTTTTTAGACGAAATGTGAATCAAAAATTCATTCAATATCCGTGGAGAGTCGCAGAAAACTTCTTTTTTACCTTCTACGTAAAGTTTGCTCTTTTAAGAAGACTACAAGGTACGCAGGATGAGAAACTATGATTAAGAATAGCAAGACCAGATCTGTCAAATCTAACTCGAGATATCCTGCAAACAGTCAACTAACCCCTAAAAAAAATAGCTCCAAAACGTATCTATAGAAAAAATTTTAAATGTGATTTTTGGCTTTAAGGGACTAAACTACATAAGAAAAATACAGTGGCGTCAAATGTACAGGGTGGGCAAATTTTGGTGTTATTATAGGCTATCTCAGAAACTATAAGAGATACGAAAAAAGTAGGTGCCATGTCCCGGTCTCTTTTTTCAAGACTAACCCAATCCCGCAAACATCAAACCTCTACCTTCTTTTGTTTTTAAGTTATAGCCAAAAACTCAAATTTTCGCGATTTCAAAAAATGCTCATATTTCGTTTATTTTTGAAATTAGAGAAATGGGGTTAATACGTTCTTAAGACACTTTTTTAAGTAGAATATACTGCCGTTGAAAAATTTTAAAAATATTTGGTGATTTTTGAGATACAACACAAAGTTGTATTTTTTTAAATACAAACTATACTTGATTATGATGGTAATAAAAAGAGCATATTTTTAGCTTTCCAATGATGTATGGCATGTATGGTGTATTTGCGGAAAATAAGCGTTAATTTTCAATTTCAAAATAGTAAGCGCTAAAGTTCATAATTTTGATTATAGTAGGCGGGTTCGGACAGTAAATACGATGTTTATATTATTATTATATTATTATTATTATATTATTTATTATTATACATTATTATATTATTACGATGTTTATATGGGCTATGGAGCCTTATCTATCATTTTCAAAGAATCATTTTTTAATTTTATAGCTTTATGTATTTAAAGATAATGAGGATTTTTTAAGCGGGAAACTCGTTTCGAAAAATTCATGAATGAAATGATCAGTAAACTACATTACTATAGCAACTAAGTGGCATTTAACGTTTTCCTCGCCTACTATAATTAAAATTTTGAATTTTAATTTTTAATATTTTAGAATTAAAAAATAACGCTTATTTTCCCCAAATACACCATACGTGCAATACATCATTGGAAAGCTAAATTTATGCTCTTTGCAGTAACACCGTAATCTACTATAGTTTGTATTTAAAAAAATACAACTTTGTGTTGTATCTCAAAAATCATCAAATATTTTTAAAATTTTTCAACGGTAGTATATTCTACTTAAAAAAGTGTCTTAAGAACGTATCAACCTCATTTCTCTAATTTCAAAAATGAATGAAATATGAGCATTTTTTGAAATCATGAAAATTTGCTATTACTTAAAAACAAAAGAAGATAGAGGTTTGATGTTTGCGGGATTGGGTTAACCTCGAAAAAAGAGACCGGGACATGGCACCTACTTTTTTCGTATCTCTTATAGTTTCTGAGATAGCCTATAATAACACCCAAATTTGCCCACCCTGTACATTTTATGAATTTTTTTTTGTAGACTAGTGTTAGCAGTTAGTATTGATCGATTATCGCCAGCATTTATAGCTAACGATAAACTTGAAATTGCTTCTAATCAAAATTCAATTCCAAACAAATTTTTAAGAATACGTTTTCAAAATGAAAATATTTATAACTACTTGATTTACATTTCCTTGTTAACCTTATTTCTTCTTGGAAGGGGGAGTATTTGTAGCGTCATGTCTACAAAATCCATTTCCTAAATCCAAGATGCCACGATATATTTTTCCTTCGTCAAACAAAAAGATTTAGGGAGCTTGTTTTTTTAAAAATACATCTTGGCAACAAAAATTTGTTATTATATAAAATTATTCATTCCTTTCAATACACTCATAGAAGACACACGTATATAAAACTGCTTGACTAATTTAATTTTGATTAAATTTTTTATTAATTATGAAGGGGAAAATAAAATCTATTAACAATCCCACAACATTCAATATATCACGAATATTTTATTCTTTAAATATCGCCATCTATAAGACGATTGCCAAAATACCAAAGCTAGGTTGTTCAGCAGATTCCCTTACATATTTCAATAATTACCTGAAAATTGCACATTTTTAGATAAAACACAATCCTGAGATAACAACAAATCTATTATAGTTACACTGTCACGGAATCTCTTCTTATATTACACATCTAGTAAATGAAGCATTGTCGCCTCGTTTAAGTGCTTAATTTGTCATAAAAGTCAGTTTTTATTACGCCCTTTTCATGACAAAGTTTAGTAATTTATTATTGTTAATATAACAACTATTTTACAAAATAAATTATGTCATTCACTACTACAATATGTGTACTTCAATCCTGTGTATTTACTTTTCTGTAATAATTTGGCAGAAAGTCATAAATGTGTTAGAAAGTAACCTCTATCAGCTTCTATGGGCCCATATAAAAATGGCCATTGAACGGTGACCTTAATAAACTACATTTAAATTTAATGTTCTTAATTTTGTTTGTTTGTTTGGTGGAGCCATCTATGAAACGTATGCTATATTAATAAAAATATAGAGTTCAGCCATGTTGTGTACGTATTAACAATAAAGGTTTTTCGCAATTATCTTATAAACAAAAGTGTTAATTGCAATGAATCCGGTACATACATATTCATATACGTAACTGAATCAATTATTGACGAAATTTTACTTTTCATTTTTATTTAATTGTTTTTTGGATTCTAAATACTTTTAAAATTGGAAAAAAAATCAACCTATCGATTGCCAACAGAATAGGTATAAAGAAGAATTAATGCAAAAATTAAATTAGTTACCGACTACAGGGACCTATATAGTTAAAGCGCAATCTTAATATGTATTCTATAATGTTTATAGAGTCATCTTGTGGTGAAATAAACAACACGATGATTCAATGTTTTGGTGCGGCGCTTGACGTGTTTACGCGTGTTCCCCCACTTTAAATTTCGTCCAATCACAACCGCGTATTTTCAACCAACTTTGACATATAAAGCAATCGAATCTTTGCCGGTTGACATCAGTCTAGAAAGTTCCTTTCGGTATTCACGATAAGAATTAAACCGTCATAAACAAACCGATCGATTCAAGATTAAGTAAAAGTTGAATTAACAAGAAATTAAGTGCTTCATAAATAACTAACATAAACAACGAAAAATGGCTTTTATGATGCCGGTAGTGAAAAACGATTGGGATATTTACAAATCGAATCGTTCTCGGAGAGCTTCAGAATGTTCGAATCCGAGAACGTGTCGTTCGAGGAAGGTGTCCGAGTGTAAATCCGAGGGACCAAGCTTGTCAACGTCTCCGGGATCAGATTTTTTCTCACCAGGACATCGAAGCGTTCCCGCGAATATGTCTTCGCGACAATATTATTCAAGAACCAGTTCGCGAGCCTCCGAAAATAGTTTACAAAGTCCGAATAAAAGTGTTGCTTCGTCGCCACCTAAAAGCGAGTCAACAAGCAGTTTAAATAAGTTTCACAATCGTCTTTTGGATAAACTCAGAAGAAGTTTGAGAAGCAGCAGTACTGATAATGAAAAAAGTTCATGAGGCGGGTCGAAAAAGTCCTCTTCGAAGGATAAAGAACGTTAAAAGGGAAGAAAAAAAATTTTAATAATTTTTTTGGGGATGGATTTGAATGATTTCGAAAAAAAATGGGTTGTTGGGGAACTCGAATTAAATACAAACTACGATTTGGTGTTCAGGTTTATTGAGTTTAATTGCTTTCATTTATGCCGCAACGACCTGTGATATCAGAGTAGTAGTGAAAGATTAAATCGAAGAATATGTAGATTTATTTACTATAAATATATTTGTTTTTCTGCCAAGAGATGAGAAACGAAATGTTTTAGTTGAAATGGGGGAAGGGAAGAAAATGAAGAGGATTTAAAGAATAATAAATTTATTAATAAATACATAAAAAGTGTTTTGATATTATGTAGAGATGTGAAACATTCCAAAATTTAAAGAAAAAATGTTCATTAATGAATTGATTGGAAGTTTTTTCTAATAAGAGATAAGAAAATTATTACATATGATACAATAAGTGGTGTTGAGATGATGCAATTTTTAAGGAATTAAAAAGAACTAGATGATTTTTATGTAAATAGGATGTGTTAAGTTTGTATTTATTCTTTTTTGAAAATGTTCTATGTATTAAAATAAAATTATAAGCTGAAAATACGAATAAATATTGCCTTTGAAGTGTTTATCACAAAAAGTTGTTTTTCTAATTTTCCTTAATTTCATTTAAATGTTAATCACTAAATAATGATTTAAATTCGGTAAAATTACCTTTAATCCATATTTCAAGTAAATTGGCTTTAGCGTTTTAAGCAAGAGATTTTTATTTACATTTCGGTTTAAATGATTGTATTATCAGAAAAGAGATACAGATAAGCATTTTCTTTTCTACAGTATTATGTAACTCTAAACTTATTTTAACTTTTATTCAAAAATCTTACAAACTGCTTATATAATATAAATGACAAATGAAGCAGTAGGGTAATCTCTGTCGTTTCTAAAATTATGAGTCTAATTTTTTTAACCAAGATAGACAATTATTTAACTAGAAATCGTATATCTAGTATGTCAAGTTTTGGCATTATTTTTAAACTTGAAGCAAAGAAAAGCTTTTAAAAAAATTATCTTTGTTTCATTGTGTCTATATACAGAGTGGTCCATTTAACGTGAGACAAGCGATTATCTCGAAAACGGTTCATTTTACATAAAAATGAACCAAATGAAAGTTGTTCTGTGCGAAGGGGGAATCCATATGACGATAACATTTTTTGACCTTGACCTTATTTTCGAGGTTATATGAAGGTCACGACTAATTTTTTAAATGGCATCCTAGAGACAATAGATTTATTTTAGACAATTAAAAGCAATATACAGGTGTTCCGGTGACTCGGGGCATAAAATTAACCTCATATACTAGAGCAAAAATGATGACGATTCGTGAAATAAAATTATAAAAATCTTCAAATGGCCAAGATATGGGCCATCAAAGTTCAGAAATTTTAACACATTTAGAACACAAAATATTTAGAATATTTTCAATACCATTTATGGTAGAGCGTTGAAATTTGGTACAGGGTAAACAAATATCAAGCAAAATCATTGAACCAATTTTGACTTTGATCGAGCGGCGGCAACCATGCTATACAGGATGTCCCTAAAATATGTTTGCTCAGAACTTTTTTGTACGCTCCTAACCCTACATTTATTTTTGTACTTTTTAATAGAAAATTTATTTTAGAAACTTTTATCAATCTTTGAAAATTTGGTAACATTGACCGCTTTCGAGTTATACGCGAAAATATTAAGCTTTGATTTCAATTGTAACAAACAAAAAAAGAGAACATATTCCGCAAGATCTGAGTTGGCGATGACAATTGAAAAGCGAACTGAGCTAAAAACCATTATTTGCATAAATTTCTAAGTGCAGCTTTAGTTAAATCTAATGTTAATTTATTTTAATTGAATAAAAGAATGTAATTTCCAAAACGATAAATTTAATTTTCAATGCAACAACAAAAGGATGTAACGTTTGGAAACATCTGAGAGATTTAAATATCTTAAATAAAACTCATTGTCACATGGATTTGTCTCATTTGGGAACTGCAAATGATCTAAATAATTTCTTTGTTGCCAATAATAATAATGCGGACCCCCCGACCCTTATACCAGACGTTATTATTCTTCTAACAAGTTTAGTACTAAATCTTTTAAGTTCTCATTCTGTAGCAATCATCGACAGCGGTGGGAGCGGACGGTTTGGGGTTGTGCAATTGTTTTGTCCATTGATTTTGCCTCACATTACTCATATCTACAATTTCTGCATTGAAAATAGTTGCTTTCCACAGGAGTGGAGAACGTCTCTCGTGACTCCAATCCCGAAAAATGGCAATCCAGCTGAGTTTTCTTACCTGCGGCCGATCAGCATCCTTCCTACTTTATCCAAGATTTTTGAAAAGATACTGGCTATTCAAATTAAAGAGTATTTGACTCAAAATTCTATTCTACTAAAACAGCAATCAGGGTTTAGAGAGGGGTATAGTTGTAGTACGTTACTGTTGAATGTGTTGGATGATATAATCTCGGCAATTGATAGGGGTAGGATGTGTGCATTGGTTTTGCTTGACTATAGTAAAGCTTTTGACACTATTAATCACGAGTTACTGCTGTCCATTTTGTGTCATATTGGTTTCGAAAATTGTTCTGTGGATCTTTTCAGGAGTTACCTGTTTGGTCGCCGTCAGTTGGTTCGGTTAGGCAACGAATACTCGGATCCCCTTCCGGTTCCTTCTGGAGTTCCCCAGGGATCCATATTGGGGCCACTATTATTTATTATTTACACGTTTAACTTGCATTCCTCGGTGAGGAACTGTAAAATGCATTGTTTCGCTGATGATACACAGATCTACATTGATTTTCCTGTGTCGGAGGCTGCAGCGGCTAATGATGTATTGATAGGTGATCTGGAGAATTTGGTGAGGGAGAGTGGGAGCCATGGCTTAAAACTCAATTCCGCAAAGTCGACTTATATGATATTCGGTGGAATTAGGGGTAAGGAAACTTTAAATGATTTTAGAGTTGAGGTTAGTGGTGTCACCTTAAAGCGTGTTGAGTCAGTCAGAAATCTAGGATTACAAATCGATACAGACCTAAGATTTAGACAACACATTAGTAATTGTATGAAAAAAGCTTATATGAACTTAAAAAATATATATGCAAGCAGGAAAATGTTGCCTACCAACACTAAAAAGCTGTTATTAAATACTCTAGTGTTGTCTCATTTCGATTATGCCGATGTAGTCTACGGTCCGTGTGTTGATGGGCGGGATGCCAGGCGAATTCAAATGGCCCAGAATAATTGTATGCGCTTGATATTTGGGATTCGTAGACACCAACATATTTCCCACAAACTTGCTGACCTCGGATGGCTTAATATGGCCAATAGACGTCAGTATCATGCAGCCTCCTTGTTCCACAAAGTGGTTCTGAATAAGACGCCACCCTATCTTTACGAAAAATTAACTTTTCGAACGGATGTTCATAATATTAATATCCACAATCGAGGTTTGCTTACCATGCTGCAGCATCGGACTGCGCTTTTTGAACGGTCATATAGTTACAATATATTGAAAGTCAAGTTTCTGTGGAAGAGCAACCGCTGCATGTCAGTGGCATTCAGCGGTTGAACTGCACCTTGGGATTTCCCACTTGTTTAGTATTAGTTCGTGTAGTGAAATTGTGATATATGTTATGTTGTTGTATAGTATTACAGGTGGGAAAAAAGAGGCATTATTATTATTATTATTAAATAAGAACATAACAAAAATATTAACAAGAACAATAAAATTATAAACAAATAGTAATAAATAAAAAAGAACAAAAAAATACTAAAGCAGATGTTCAAAAACACTCCCGAGGGCAATGCACGCCTGATATAGCCGTTTTAAATTAAAGCGCACTCTGCGGAGAACATTGATCTCAGTTCGAAGTTGATCAAATGAATCAACAATTTACAACCTCAGTTGATCAACTGAAGTTATTTCAACGCAGTAAACTAGCGATTTAACGCGTCCCCATAAATAAAAATCTACAGGTGCACCTACTCCTCGTTCAATCCACCGTCCCGGAAAATGTTCCTTCAGAAATTCTTGGATAGCCTGTGTGTTATGCGCAGGAGCACCATCATGCATATACCACGTTGCTTGCCTTGTGTTTAAAGGAACGTCATCTAAAAAATCATCTAATTCCTCTAAATGTCGCCTATATGTATGTCCATCCAGCCTTGATGGCAAGAAAACGGGTGCAATAATTACATCGCCCACAATGCCAACCCAAACGTTAAGAGGGTGTTAAACTTGGATTTTCGTCCGCCCAACTATGTAAATTTCTCAAATTGATGATTCCATCTTTAGAAAAAGTGGTACCGTTGTTAGTAAATTTCGGCTTAAACGTCTCATTTTCCCTTAAACGGGTTTCAATCGTTAAAAATGTTTTTCGATTGGGCGCTCTGCGGTTCGGAAATTTCTCCCGATAACGGTTAGCGGCTGCTACGGTGTTTCCATAACATTCCCCTAGTGTCAAAATCATGTCAGTTTGTTCACTAAATGTGTAACTCTCCATTTTGAACACTTAAAATTAATAAAAACTTAACTAACAAAAAACTAATATTTGTGTTTAAACGACATAAGCAAATTGACAGTTCAATTTGTTTTTTTTTTGCCATGGCCAACCTTGACTTTTTCGAAGATTTTTGTTTTTTAGTGTTACCATTGAAATTAAAGCTTAATATTTGTGCGTATAACTCGAAAACGGTCAATGTTATCAAAATTTTCAAAGAGTGATAAAAGTTTCTAAAATAAATTTTCTATTAAAAAGTACAAAAATAAATGTAGGGTTACGAGCGAACAAAAAAGTTTTGAGCAAACAAATTTTAGGGACACGCTGTATAGCATGGTTGCCGCCGCCCGATTAAAGTCAAAATTGGTTCAATGATTTTACTTGATATTTGTTTACCCTGTACCAAATTTCAACGCTCTACCATAAATGGTATTGAAAATATTTAGAAAAATGTGTTAAAATTTCTGAACTTTGATGGCCCATATCTTGACCATTTGAAGACTTTTATAATAATTTTTTTTCACGAATCGTCATCATTTTTGCTCTAGTATATGAGGTTAACTTTATGCCCCGAGTCACCGGAACATCCTGTATAACATAAACAACAACATAATGTACGGGTGGGCAAATTTGGGTCTTATTATAGGCTATCTCAGAAACTATAAGAGATACGAAAAAAGTAGGTGCCATGTCTCGGTCTCTTTTTCCAAGACTAATCCAATCCCGCAAAGACCAGATCTCTATTTTCTTTTGTTTTTAAGTTATAGCTGAAAAGTCAAATTTTAGCGATTTCAAAAAATGCTCATATTTCGTTTATTTTTGAAATTAGAGAAATGGGGTTAATACATTCTACAAGCACTTTTTTGAGTAGAATATACAGCATCACTTTTGTTTTGCAATATTTCTCATATCTGTCATAATAAGGAAGGGGGCGGCCAATGCGTTTTCAAATGTTTACATTTTAATATCTCCTGGACCATTCAACCGATTTGAATATTTTTGGTCTTGTTTAAAAGAGCATTTCATGCTCTTTTAAAAGATATTTTCAGTAAGACCGCTTGATTTAAAACAAATAAGCTAGAG